ATTCGGAGTTTTGGTTGAATTCTTAAAATTTCTACCAAATATGTTCAAAGTTTTTTTTTTTTTTAGTTATTCAATTAGTTAATTGAATACTATGCAATAAACAAATTAAAACAATTTTAATACCAGCTTTTGTTACGTGCGTCAAGGTGCTATGTTTGATACTTCAGCAAAATGGTGCATTTGCCACAACTTCAAATTCTTTTATCTATCAAACACTCACAGGAAAGAGAAAAACCAAAAAACATGTACAAAAAAGTACATAAAATGCAAACAAAACACAACATTAGCAACGAAATTTTATACAAAAAAATTTTTGAAAATAAAAAGTAGTAAAAAATATAAATAATTTTTGGCGGTTTGAAAATTAATCTGTTAAACAGGTAAAATGCTTGTTTTATTACATTTTTAGTTTTAAGTGGGTGTTATTAAAAAAAAAAATATTTAAAAAAATTCGAATAGTTGGAAACGAAACATTGAAAAACGGAAATAAGAATTTCAAGTAAATACTGTTTAGGTTATTTATAAAGCAAAAATGTATAGGAAATAAGAAAATAAAATAATAAATACATAAATACATAAAAATGTACGAATAAGTGAAAAAAAAACTAAAAAAGAGAAAAAACACATACAAGCAACGCAAAGACTAGATATTCATTTTTTTTAACTAAAAGAAGGTAACAAAGTGAAAATGAAAGGGGGCGAAAAGAGAAAAATGTGTTGAAAGAAAGAAAGTAAATACGGGAGACCTGTATGTGTGAATAAGATTGTCAAAAAGACAGAAGATTAAAAAAAAAATGTAATTACAAAAAGTCAAAATGTAGCAAGCTTAAAGAGTAACCAAAAATTATTCTATTATTATTTCAAAAAATACGATAGTCGAAGATCCACAGAAATTCCATTTGAAGTTAAACTTGTAAAATATGGTTACTTCTGATTGAGCGTTAGAAAAACTTTATGCTGGTCACACTATATGAAACTGACCAATTTCCACAGTAAACATCACAAAAAAAACTTGATACAATAAATTAAGATTTCATGTTGGTATAATAATAAATAAAAGAAATTACATAAAAATACGCTAATTGCAGTAAAACTTACTGAGAATCGAAGCAAAAAAGTCCATTTAGTAATTAGTGTGTGAGATGAAGTCATAAGTTAGGGCAAGAGATTTTGAGTAAACAAAGTTTTTGTTTTATTTTAAATTAAGGCATAATACTATTTACGCGTAGACTTCCATGATTGTGAAATTAAATAAAATCAACTAAAGCAAAGAAATTTAAAGAGGAAATTAAAAAAATATATGTGTATAAAATAATAAAAATTAAACCAAAATGTTAATAGAAATTAATAAAAGTACAGTATATAATGCGAAAACAAATAACACGTTAAAAGAACTCAAATATTTATGCCGAATATTCAATGTAGAAAAAATGCTGATTGTAATTGTGGCGCTTGACAGAGATGCCACATTAGTTTTTAAACGGAAAATAATGATACTAAACACTAAGCACATACAGCATTATTTCTTAAAAATAAAATCACTGTATATATGCATACATACATACATACTTAAATAAAAAAACACACATACACACAAAATATAATAATGAAGAAAGTCTAAAAAATTTTAAAATGCAACCCTTTATTACAAATAAAGGCATTAAATTTAACCAATAATTGCATGCATTTTGAAAGATTAAACAAGCTCGAACACACACCAACATTTGCTCAACAACAACAACAATAAAAATGCAAACATGCGAGTGAAAATGTGCTCATAACATTATGCAAGAAGTTTGCTTATATAGTGAAAAAAATAAATAAATAAATATAGGGTACATATTGTAAGCAACAAGAAATATTACAGCCAGTAACTGTATTAAATAAGTATACAGGTATTTATTTGTATTATTAAAAGAAAGATAAATGTTTACAAAATTTTAGTTTAAACAAAAATAAAAATAAATACATATTTTAAGCGCATAGCATATGAACATACATACATACATTCAAAAAACGATGATGTGAACAAAAAAAATGAATACAAAAATAAATACAAAATTGTATCAAGAATTACATCTAAATGTGAAAATGGAAAATATGAATAAACAGAAAGTAATCATAATGTAATATTTCTGTTTTTTAAAGTATTTTTTTTTTCTCCGTGGGGTTAAACATTTTGACCGCTTGGGTGTACAGTAAACCGTACCACCTTACAAGCAAACAAGAAAAAAGTTCGCCGTACACCTCTGGGTCTAAATTATTTTTCCAAGGAAATTAAATTAAAAAAATATATATTTTTGACCGAACCTAAGAATCGCATTTCTACATTATTCGGTGACACCTAAATACATTCGGCACTAAAAAATTGTTTTAAAATAGTTCTACTGGAACAATTGATATACTTCCTCAGTAAAAGTTTAAATATATCTGGTGAGATTTAATTTACTGGAATTAGGGTGGTACGTTATGGTGATAGGAATTGAGATCTGATAGTGAAGTACTAGTAGAACGGAGTACTTGTAAATGAAAAATACGATTAAAGAAATGCGGTAAATAAGAATGGTATAATTTTCTCGAAAACCTATTATCTTAACAATAAAAGCTCTTATTTATGAAAAATGGTTTTTAAGCACAAAAAAGTGTATCCAATATTGGGCGCTTGTACTGAAAGGGTTAAGATCCGAAGATATGACAAAAAATGTTAAAAGGTAATCCCTACGTTCGGCCAAAAAAATAATAATAAACAAATTGAAGTTGTCCTGCAAAAAATATTTAACGGCGAACTTTTTTTCTGGTACGGTCTAGTGAACGTTTAAGATTGCGAATTTTTTATTTGTGACGTTGGCTGATTTTAGCGCGGGGGAGACGAAAATTTGTTTGATACTAAATCCTCTTGAAGTAAGATGTAACAACTTTTTTCTTTCATATAAGAAACGACTTCTAGTTCGCAATTTCAACCTTGGAGACATCTTTATTTTTAGAACTTGTATTTATTTGTTTCAAAATGTATGGTATTTAACCCAGAAACCTTGAAGCTTACCTGCGATAGCTACCCCAATATCTGATGAGGTCTTTTCCTTCCTAGAAGTCTGAGGCAATCAGTCAATTCTGACATTAATGACTTCCATTGCCGTTTGGAAGGACTAAAGCTCGATGATTGATCAGCTGTACTTGAATGTAAACGGCTACTTCTATCGTAAACGGCCCTTCAATTAATACCCTTTTCATATCACACTTTCTCGACCTACCGCTTAAGCTTGATGACAACGATCCAAATATTAGCAGATCTAACCAAAGCTACATATGTAAGTAAGTTTCGATGCCTCATCCGAGAAAGCAATTTTGATATATATCCTGTACTTGATGAGAAGCTCGACCAAACCTTGCCCACCGAATATTTATTTGTACACTTTTTATTACCGCAGGGTGAACAATGTAGTCCGTTCCAGTTCGAAACTAATAAGAGCGCCTGGCAACTTTTCTGATGTTAACAGTAGAGCTCGGATGTTACCATTTCACGACGAAGCTCAGTTAGTCCAAGTAGACATACCTCCTTCCAATTGGCTATTTTTGCATTTTACATACGGCTGTGATAGCTTTTTGCCTATTAGGTTGAGGTTAGGAAGAAAATCCAACACAATGTGCTAAATCGGAGAGTGTTATTCCAGAAAATTTATAGGGGGTTTCATTTAGTCTCACCGTACTAAGTACAGCGACGAAGTTCGCTACAGACCGGATGATAACATCGTGTGCCTTGTCCTTTCCACATGTCGTGCCGGCCAACAGCTGGAGAACTTTGATCCTACAGTGGAGGAAGTAGAGAGACAACACTGCTCCGTCAGTAAATTTCGATCGAAGAGCCGGCGAAGTTCCGAGAATTGGGATCGCTCCAAGAGCCGGCACCACTCCAAGAGTCGGCGCCGTTTGAAGAAAAGGCATCGATCTAGAAACAGCCGCCGTTCCAGCATCAGGCACCGTGAGGGGTCACTGGGTCTACACCGCAGATCTCCCAGTCGGACCTTACCAGCGTCACAGGAACCAGGGTGGCAGAGACAAGCTAACAGGCATCGTACGTGTAGACCCCCACCAATACCCCTGCCGAGTCAACCCGGCGCCTTTGATCACCACAACAGAGCTGGCGTTAGCGCATCGAGAGTCAATTGGTATCTCCGGTACCTGGGAGCAGGGGGAGGCACCCTAAGAAACCCGGGTTACGGGGGATGAACGTGAGCCTGATGAGCGTTGAACGCCTAAAAAGCTTGCTGTGGAGCTTTACTTTAAGTCCGACATAGTAGTTTCCAAGGCACATTAATTTAGCCTCGATACACTACTCTTTTCAGATCGGCTGAAACCGGTTTTTCAAGGGTGCGAAGTTTATCTCAGCAATTTCAGATGCCGAAAAATGCGGTATGTAGTGAAAAATTTCTTTTCCTAGGGGTATTCACACACGGAGCTTGGTATTCGGTAACACGGTTTTCGGTAATTTTTCACAATGTATTTAGTTTGTGTAAAATTATTTTAATATATTTGTACCGGTTGCCGAATTTTTGTGGTGGGAGCTTGATAATTTTCCTGGTAGTCAGTCAACTGCAATCAGCTGTTCTATATGTATCCAATTTTGCAACCGCACGCTGCCGAAAGGCATAACGCATATGAGTAAATAAAGTTCCTATAATTTTCTGTTACAATTAATTTTTTTATATTAAAAAAAAAGATAAGAATCAGCTGTTGATAAACGTAGTTTACCAGACTATAAAAATAAAGCTGAAAAGGTATGAACGTCCTGATAAAACTGCCAAGTACCAACTAGCAGTTTACCAAAACTCCTGAAATTAATGTGAAGACCCTTACCATATCTAGTTCTTCTTATGGGCCTTGGTAGATTCGAAGTTACCGATGTCAAGGTACATATTTAATCCAAAGCTTATATAAAACCGACTACCCACTTTATGATTACACTATAAGGTAGTTATTGCGAATGTCCTACACAGCAAGAAGAAGCATGCAATTAGAATTTTTATAAGCGATTTATTTAGTGGATGGATTGATTTTGTTGTGGTTTATTAATTAGTGACTAATGGTTTGAAAAAACAATTAATAATTAATGCAATTTGAAGAACGAAAAAGCATTGAAATAGCTTAAACTGTTTTTTAAGAGCAGCTGATGGATTTCACCAAACGTAAGTAGAGCTGTGAAAGAATATTTTCAGAATGCATTCGTCTATATTTGTTTACATATTTACGTCCGTTCTTGTTTATTTCTTAGTTAAGTCAAATTATTATTTCCTCGACGACAAAGCTTACACAGAGGATGACCTATTTGTCTACAATGTCACAGCGTATCAGTTACATGGCAAGGTAATTCAGTGACGCACTAATGTCGCATTAGAATGCTTAATTAACTATGCTAATATTTATAGGTCACCGAGTTGGAGCTTTATAAGTACTTTTCGCAATTCGGTGATGTACTCAAGGTGTATTTGAAGCGCGACAAACATGCCATAGGCACCACAGAACCGCCTATTGGCGTGGTCCATTTTGCACATCCACTGGCAGCCGCGAAGTAAGTATAAAAAAAATACACTTAATTAATCAAGCATGTGTTTAGATAATGGAATATATTCCCATTAATTATATGTATATGCGTGTGTACTTACATCTCTACTCATCTTACAATTTTTAGGTCGCTCCAACGCTCCTGCCATGAATTGCAGAAGAAGCGCTTCTTTGTTAATGCTTGCGAAAGTTGGGAGCAACCAGAAGCATATAAAGGTGGAGTTGACTTTAACGCACGCATTGCTACGCTGAATATAAATGGAGATTTGATTGATTTTTACACACCTGTACGCACCAGTATCTTACAACTGAATGATGAATGCCTAGAAGCAATTTGTCAATATTTGCCACTACGTGATCAGATACGTTTTTCACGCGTTTGTCGGCGCTTTCGTGATATTTTCAAGCATACCTGCAAATACGCTCCCAAAGTATTCAACATGACTCAATTAATCGGCATGACTTTATGGGATATACGTGAATTCTTTGAGATGGCTGGCGCTAATATAGAAGAGCTGAATGGTGCGGTGCCTTATAATTATCAAGATCGCATTGATTTTATTAGTGAGTTGAGTCCACGTGTGCGTCGTGTAAATCTCAACTGTAACAATGTAGAGTCAGCAAGCTTCTTGCGACTCTTGGAACGTTTTCATGCCGTTACCTATGTGGAATTGCACAACTTCTCGCTAAATGATAGCGCTGTGCTAGCCTTAAGAAAACTGCCCAATTTGGTTGCTTTGGTATTGGATCAGAGTTTCGAGTTGACGGGTAAGAATAATACTAGTCATTTTAAGGCGCATCTTATTTAATTATATTCTTGTTATTTATATTCGAACTGTGCACTTACAGGCAAAAATCTAAGTAAATTATATCAGCTACATGAGCTAAGCCTTTATGGCTGCGAAAATGTGCAAACTAGCCACTTTATCGATATCTGCAAGTGCTTATTTAATTTGCGTTGCTTAGATATACGTCATTGTAAAATGCTCACATCTCGCGCCTACACCGAAATGGTGCGAAACTGTCGTCAATTGGAACAACTTAAAATCTCTTGCGAAAAGGAGGTAAATTATGATTGTGTCGCACAACTACATTCCTTGCGTCAACTCTCGGTGCATTCATTCGGGGCTGTGCGCGAAACTTTATTCATAGCATTATCGGCACATAAGTCACAGCAGCTTGACCTACTCGAGTTATCAGCAAGGAATTGCATCACACACGAAGGCGCCATTTATCTATCAAGGCTGCAGAAGCTACGCAAATTAATCTGTCCAAATAATGACAATCTAACCGATGAGTGTCTCTTCGAATTCGCCGAACGTCTGCCGCTGCTAGAAGAGCTTGATATACATAATTGCCGCGCGGTAACAAATATCGGACTTTTGGTGCTGCTGCGCCGTTGTACGCACCTCAAATGTGTCAATATTGAGCAATGTGAGGGTATAACCGATGATTTCGTTTACGATGCCTGCGATGTGCTGAAACAGGGTAGATGGGAATGTGATGAGCCGGTGTTGTTTCGTATCGCGGGCACTAGTGTACATGAAGCTGTGGTTAAGGTAAGTTGGTGGATTTTTTTTTACAGATTGTGTTTTTATTGCTGTGTTTCATATATTCAGGATTTATCATGTGCAGACGTTGGTCGTTTGCTGCGTTTTACTTTAATCGAAGAGAGTTCCTAGTTAAACGCTGGCGGTAGAATTCGAATGATTTCTAGACTAACGACCAAAGGTTAAGTAGAGGAAATATTTGAAATATTACATGCGCAGTAAAAACAGACAAAGATATTCGTCACGATGTTCATGGGAAAGCATTTAAAAGACATTAAATTAATACATTAAAAAAATATGTTATATCAACGAAAGAAAAAAATGATTCAAAGAAAAGATACACAACGCACATACCGACAGCGAAATATATTTTGGGGAGTGTTGCTGGAGTGACAGTCCTTGGCCAGATATAAATCTGGGTCGTTCCGGTTACGTAGACCCGACTGTCGTGGGAACACTCCCCAAAATGTCTTTGGGGAATTTGTATGCTGCTACAACAACAACAACAGCGAAATATATCGCACGTTAAATAATAGAGAGTTATTTAAAATAAGGATTTGGTGACAAAACGAAATCAAAGTTTGATAAATTCATATTATGGGTATACAAAAGTATAAAAAGTTAGAAAGACACATCTTCACCATATTTGGGAAGTTTAATAATCTGTTAGACTTAACAGATTCTCTTTACGAAGCTTATTAATTGTATGAAAAAATATCCAAAAACGTAAATTTTGATTTAATTCTCTATATTAGGAAACGTGCGAAATTATCACTGGATTATCTTAAAATTTTAACTACAAAATGCTTTATTGTTGTTTTAGAGCTAAAGAGAATGAGTAGTTCACGATTTTAATACTTGGTTGTTATAACTAACTTGTAAAATGTTTAAATATTTATTAACATTATTCGTGTTTGCAAAGACCTACTGAACATGAAAACACTTTGATAATAATTAAGTGCGAAACCATTATTTTGTTGTCCAAATCCATTCTATTGTATTAGTATTATATTCCACTATCTAAGCTATTCGAAAAGAAGACATTTCGAAGCCAAATCATTTCTTGAAACTAAGCATATACAACCAATGGAAATTCGACTTTTAATTGTGATCCAGCTCCTTTGTGTGCTAAGCGTGAACCTAAAAATACTGAACAATATTCATAACTAACCTATAAGGCTTATTTATCATTCATAAAATTTATGTCATTATAAATGTAGCATACATACACCTGCGTTCAACTAATTAGAAACGAAATTCAAAATGATATTGTTTGCAAATTATGTTTATTTTTTTATGTTTTATAATTTTTATTTAAAATATAATTCAACGTGTATAAGAAACCACAATAATAAAAGCTTCAAAGTCTGCATAAATTGCAAAAAACATTTATCAAACTTCTAAAAGCTGTAATCAAGATTTCTGTAGCCCATTCAATTGTAGTCTAAGAAAGAGCAAGTCTCAAACTGTTAAAAATTACCGTTGACTTTTTTTTGTGGAGGTTGGTGCGCTTTTTCTTCCATATAACACATGATCAAATTTTTTTTATATGAAAAAAATATACGCAACATCCGTAAAATTTTCTAAATGTTCTGATTAAAAATTTTGAAATTTTCATCAAAATTTTTTGGTTTGATTAATTTTTTTTGCAATTTTGCATTTTTGAAACTTTTATTGTTGTGGTTTCTGTTACAGATTGAAATATATTTTAAATGAAAATTATTAAAAATAAAAAATAAACATAATTTGCAAACAATATCATTTTGAATTTCGTTGCTAATTAGTTGAACGCAGGTGTATATACATATAAGTAGCTATTCTCATATTGAATTACTAATATAAAATATACGCAATAGCAGCATGCAATAAAACTAATAATACTCTAGAAGCAAATATAGAAACAAAAGAAGCCGAAAATACATTTATTCAACCAGTGATTGTAATTGCGAGTATTCAATCAGGTTGCCAATGATAAGTTAAAACGAGTATAACAAAAATTGTATTTAATTTTTCAAGTAGGCATTAAATGCGATTTAGGAAAATAACAGTTTTCTGCATGCATATTCGACATAATTATCTATTGTATTTTACTAGTCGATAAGTGTTACTGTCTTTTACAATATTTACATTGTACTAAGTGATATTGTATATTTTTTTCTGAATTCAAATAAACGCGATATTATGAATAATACGATAACAGCATGAGCATTGGAGTAGTGACAAACTAGAGGATTTGTAAACAAATTATTTATCTTTTTCAGCAAAGTGTGTTAGCTTTTTTAAGAATACGTTGTATGTAATCAACAGATCGGGCATTCAACGAACCTCCACCGTCAAAAACTCCACGCTACTAGAGACATTGAGGCTTCCTCACTCCACAGAGGGAGTAGCTATTGTCTTTAATGCTGACGACTGCTCGCTAATGGCGCCCGGAAATAGCATTGCTGACTGTGCTCGAAAGTAAACGGTTACCTCTTCGAACTTTCTCTCTTCTTTCCTGCAAGGAGCCTAACCCTCCCCCTAAGAAATCCTCGGCAACCTCTTCCACCACCTCCATGGAGGAGATTAGACTACAGCTGGGAATTCACGTCGATGGAGAACCAATTCCAACAATTTCAAAAAGAACCGAAAATTCCCGAAGTTGCATTCGATTGTCTGCTCTCCTCCTCGGTGTATATCATCGCATTTGCCAATAGAGTACAAAGCGGCAACAAGGTCCTGAAGTCGCTAGCCCCCAAGACCTGTGGCAAAGACAAAGAAACGTTGTTGGCAACATACAAGGCCATTGGTCGGCCGGCTCTGAACTATGCAGCGCCCCTGTGGTCGCTGGGGACTAGCAGGACGAAGCTACAGACATGCCTTCTGATGTCGCCGCAACGTCATCTGCACGACGAGGTTCAAATGCTCCCCGTTAAGGAGTCAACGACGTGAGCCCGCGAACAGACACTTGCTTGCGGAGGAGCCCTCGCCACGGCACGTCAGAAGGCATCCATACCGACCTACACTGACTCGATCTGTGAATGTCGTTTTGGGAACACAGCCACCAGACGTGCACGAGACAGAGCTTCGTCTGCCTCGGACAACATTAGCCCAACTTCGCTCTGTCTACTGCAGCAGGTTAAACTCGTACGTGAGCAGATTAGATGCAGATGTGCGCGGGTGTCCGGCATGCGGAGAGACACCCCACGACTCGAGACATCTCTTCGCACACCCACTAAACCCCACTCAACTAATGTCGCTGCCCCTTTGGACTGACCCTATAGAAGCTACACACGCTTCCTGAGTCTCCTGTTAGTTCATCATGAGGACAATGATTGCGGGACTAGCCGATCAGGGCGGGGTTGATGTAGCCCCTACAACAACAACAACCAACTCATAGAGAGTCGGTCACCAACTGCTACGGCATTTGACCTATGAATGCCGCGATCGGAGCCCAATGTAACCGTTGCAGACACAGAGCTTCGACTGCCACGAGAGACCAGCGTTACTCTGGTTCAATTACGGTCTGGATATTGCAGCCACTTAAACAGCTGCTTATCCAGACTCGGGCCCCAATGAGTAACCGCCAAGTGTAGATTCCCCCCATGACACCCACTACCTCTTTACATTGTAACTCAGCTAACGGCCTGTCCTCACCATCATTATCTGTTTTACCTTAGTCTCAATTTTAAGCTTCGTCTTTATCTTTTGCTTTATTCATGCACTCATCTGTGTGCATTTGCATCACAAAAATAAAAATAAACATTAAGTTTTATTCAAGCAAAAATTAAACTAAAAATACGACTATTATCTGAGCAATAAATAAAGCTATAAAAAAAAAATTCTAAACTTGATTTTTTTAAACAAACCCTGAGAAATAAAAATCAGTGCCGCTCCAAGTAGTCCGAGTAACAAGGACTACTCCATCGTTTACTCCTTATGCACTTCTCCAGCATGGTTCTTCAGCATGATTTTTTGAGTTGAAGTTTAAAACTTAATTATTATTTAGGTCTCCGGGTAAAACTTTTGTCGGTCCAGTTGTGTTACCAAATATTATCTGTAGAGGAGAAACTTGTCCACACTCTTAAAAAATTTGAGTTTTTTGAGGTTAGAAAAAATACGAAAATGAGTTAATATGAATTTTTCCTAAATCCACGGGAGCGTTTAGGCTGATCTCAAATTACAGATTCCCTGCAGAAGATAAGAAAATTAGAGGGAACGCGTGGTAGAAGAAATAAACTATTTCTTTATTAACAACAAACCTCAAAATATTTCCACGGCAGCTTGCTGCCCATTTCTGCTCGCCTGGTAGAAATTGTCGAGCGGGCCACTGAAATGGATTTTTGCCGGCCTGCCGGAAATCTTTGGACAAAACTTCCGTCCACGGATATGTAGCCTATGCCTAGGGGCAGGAAGCGAAAAAAAATGTTTCCGCGGCAGCTTGCTGCCCATTTCTGCTAGCCTGGTAGAAAATGTTGAGTTGGCCACTGAAATGGATTTTTGCTGGCCTGCCGGAAATCTTTGGACAAAACTTCCGTCCACGGATATGTAGCCTATGCCTAGGGGCAGGAAGCGAAAAATACAAAAAAATGTTTCCGCGGCAGCTTGCTGTCCATTTCTGCTTGCCTGGTAGTGTGTCAAGTGGGCCACTGAAATTGAATTTTGCTGGCCTGCCGGAAATCTGTAGACAAAACTTCCGTCCACGGAAATGTAGCCTATGCCTAGGGGCAGGAAGCGAAAAATACAAAAAAATGTTTCCGCGGCAGCTTGCTGTCCATTTCTGCTTGCCTGGTAGTGTGTCAAGTGGGCCACTGAAATTGAATTTTGCTGGCCTGCCGGAAATCTGTAGACAAAACTTCCGTCCACGGAAATGTAGCCTATGCCTAGGGGCAGGAAGCGAAAAATACAAAAAAATGTTTCCGCGGCAGCTTGCTGTCCATTTCTGCTTGCCTGGTAGTGTGTCAAGTGGGCCACTGAAATTGAATTTTGCTGGCCTGCCGGAAATCTGTAGACAAAACTTCCGTCCACGGAAATGTAGCCTATGCCTAGGGGCAGGAAGCGAAAAATACAAAAAAATGTTTCCGCGGCAGCTTGCTGTCCATTTCTGCTTGCCTGGTAGTGTGTCAAGTGGGCCACTGAAATTGAATTTTGCTGGCCTGCCGGAAATCTGTAGACAAAACTTCCGTCCACGGAAATGTAGCCTATGCCTAGGGGCAGGAAGCGAAAAATACAAAAAAATGTTTCCGCGGCAGCTTGCTGTCCATTTCTGCTTGCCTGGTAGTGTGTCAAGTGGGCCACTGAAATTGAATTTTGCTGGCCTGCCGGAAATCTGTAGACAAAACTTCCGTCCACGGAAATGTAGCCTATGCCTAGGGGCAGGAAGCG